GGGCCGTGCAAGGACACCACAACGAGCTCACCAGGAAATACACTGAGCAGGCGATTCTGACGAATTTGTATTCCTTTGACGAAGAGTTCACTGCGGCAAAGTACTTGGGCGGGCAATACCCGAGAGCGGTACGGCATCCCGAGCAGACGGATCTCTGGCGCAGGGGCTTCCCTGCTGTTCTCTACCATACCTGTGACCTCAGGTCTGCCGAGAGCATCATCAAGTTTGGCCTGGTCCCGGGGGGCTATCCGAAGTCGACAGGCAGAGCCCACGTCTACTTCAACCCCACGCCACCCTGGGAGGCACAGATGAGGAAGCTGGCGGGAACGCGAGCCGGAAGGCCCGTCACGATTGCTTTCGATACGGAGCTCATGATGCAAGACGGCATTCGACTCTTCACGAGCGATGAGGCGTTTATGTCTGCCGATTGGGTTGGAAATGCATATATTATTTACGCTTTCCACACCCGCAAGAATGAGTTCCTCTATTTCAATCGTGCGTACCCCGAGCTTCGCAAAAGGTACCGCGAAGCGTTGACATCCGAGCTCACGCCAGGTCCCCAGGACGCCAATCCGAACTTCTTCAGAAGTGAAAACACCCTGACCGCAGAAAAGGCATGGAGGCATTGGCGGACTGTCGTTGAGGGGACGAAGAACGGCAAATTGCTTCCTGGTGCCGTGACTGAGATTGCCACGATCGATGAGCTCGCTCCCCGGAAGGGGAAGTCGAATGAGAGACCTGCAGGGCCGACATATCAGGTTGCGCCTCCCTCACCTCCCAAAAGACCTTATCTTAATTAAGGTCTTTTTTTACTACCTTAATTAAGGTGTTTTTCCTTATTTAGGTGTGTTTTTTAAGGTTTGTTTTCCTTAATTAAGGTCTGTTTTTTTACACTTTTTTGAGCAGGAGGCAGCCGCCTCCTCTTTACATGAGTTAGCAGATCTTTGAAGCATTCCCTTTCGGGTAGTGGCATGCGTGTCTTGGAGCTCGGGTGACCATTTGACATCTTGGCAGCCGTTTTGGAGCTCAAGCTTTGATCCGTGCAATGGCTCGAGCTAAAAACACTGCCGACGAGAAGGCCGTGGGCAAGGTGCTACGGGCCAATTTGACCTGCCTCGACCCAAAGCTTTTCCAGCAAGTGGAGATGGATTTGGTAGTGGCCAGCTACGAAGATTTTTTGATCGACTTGCTTAAGGTGACAGCAAGGCCCACCCAAAGCATTTTGAAAGCTGCTGCTTCCAGTGTGTTTGCAGTTTCTCCAGAGACTGCGGATGCCTTTGCTGGCAGGATGTGCAAAAGCATTTCTTACTGCAGGCAAAAAGAGAAAAGTGCTCAGAGCGGGAAGAAGCTGCACTCAGCAGTTAGGAAGGTCATCCTTGCCCTTAGGGGCAAGGCAGGTGCCAATGAAGTGTCCCCTGCCAGCGCAAGAGCTAGCAGCCCAGTAGAAGCACCTGCCATGAGCAGCGCGCAGGAAGCTTCTGCTTCTAGCAAGAAGAGGAGCCGGTCTCCTCCCCGGACTAGGGAGTCAATTTTTTTGGAGCTTGGCTTGACTCCTCCCAAGGGCTCGAGCAAGCCTTTGCTTGTTTTTTCGCCTGCAGTGTCAATAGATTCTTCAGTGCAGGTGGCAAGTAGTCAAGAAGGCCCCTTGCCAGGCTCTGAGGCTGCTAGCAGCTCCAGGCAGTCCAACGACAAGGTTGCTGTGTATGTTGACAACTCCACGTTGGAGCTGGTCAGAGCGCATGCTGGCAAAGACGCCCAGCGCTATCCCTTAGAAGTTGGCCCTGAAGGCTTTGCAGTGGCAAAAGTGGATGGGGCCACAGTGCCCACTGAGGTTCCTAACTTGTTACTGAAGAAGGGGCCACTTCCTCCCACCACTGGCGCTTTTAAAAAGCCAGCGGCTGCCTTGAAAAGGCCAGCTGCAGCACCGTCCATGCCTGAAGCTGAGGAGAGGGCAGCTGAGCACTCGAACTCTGAAGGCTCAGAGCCGCATCGCAAGAACGAATACAGCAAAATGTTTTACAAGGCATCAGGCGCTTTTGCCATAAGGCAAAAGTTTTTTGCGAAGTCACAAATTTTCCAACTAAAGAGCCACACGCTGTCAAAAGACCAAGTTTCAGACATTGCTGATCAGGCAGTTGCCAGGCTCCATGCCGGGCAAAGTGAAGACCAGGTCAAGCAGTGGGCCAGATCGCAGATGTAAAACAACGCTCTTTGTGGTTCGCGTGCTTCTGTTTGCTTGGGGCTTGGCGCGGTTCCTTGGCTTGCTTTTTTTGAGGGGGGAGGGAAACAGTAGGCGCCACCTTGCTTGCAGTAGTTGCCTGTGAACATTTCATGGTGCACGATATTTGTTTTCTCGGCCACAAACTTTCACAGATGTGGGTAGAGCATGCGCTGGACCCGTCAGTCTGCATCCTTGCTGTGTGTTTTTAGCTTGGCTCAAAAAAACACGTTTTTTTTGACCGCTGTTTTCTACGCTGCTTTCTAAGCCATGGCGGATGGCCCCAGCACTCCCCCGAAGATGCCGCCACCTTCGCCTCCTCCAAGCAAGGCCACAAGCGTTGTTAACCTGCTCTTGGAGGGCGAGGAGGAGGAGCAGGGCTTTGTTGAGGACCAGGTGGTGGAGCCCTGGGAGAACCCTGAGTTCTTGCGGGAGTGCCTGAAGTGCCATTGCCGGTCGTATTTGAGGAAAGGTGGATGCTGTAATCCAGCCTGCGCCCCTTGTTTCAGCATATGTACGTATGAATCATTTAACAGGAGACAGAATTTGGTCTCCTTAAGTTTTGTTGTTGCATTCCGTGTTTTCATTTGTTGTTTTTGCTTGTCACACGCCCAGGCCCTCTACTATGTCCACCGCAAGGACTGGGCCTACTGGCAGAAGGGCAAGTCCGCCAAGAAATCCTGGACTGGCGACAAGCAGGGCATGGTCAAGTGCATCGTGGCCTCAAGGAAGAAAAAGTCCTTGGCCATGAAAGAGGCCAAAAAGGCTTTGGCCGCAGTGCACAAGACCCATGGCAAGCGCGTCCGGAAGTCCAAGAACAAGGGCTTGAAGAGGAAGGTGTTCTGGGCTCGGAGGGCGACACGCGGGGCTGCAACTTCAGCCAGGCCACCCTCTTCGAGCGAGCCCCCCACTTCTACAAGCCAATCTGGGACCCAGTACGCTGTGGCTTTGAAGGCAGCGTGCCAAAATTAGTTGCTCTGTGTTGCATTTTTTTACGCTGGATTTCTATTTTTATTTTTAACTTGTGGTTCAGTCGAAGCTTTTTTTTTTGCCTTTTGCCAGGCTCGCGCCCGTGTACATTCTGGAGGAGGCGCTGGAGGAGGCCAGCCGCAGGGTGGTGCAAGCATCCCTGCTGCCTTTAGGGGCCCAGGGAATCCAGGGTTGCCGTCGGGGCTAATGTATCCTCCCGGTTTCTGGCCTATGGCCAAAGCTGGTGGGACTGTGCCAAAGGCTAGTCCCATCATCAATGTGAATGTCACCAATATCAATATTGGCGCTCTTGGGCCAGAGCAGCAGCAACTGGCACAGCAGATTGCTGCCATGATTGCTGGCGGCGTCCCGCAGATGGGGCTCCCAGGCCCACCTGCCCAGCCTGCTCAGCCTATCCAGCCTGCTCAGCCTGTCCCTAAGCCAGCGTTCCCTCCCATGCCTCCTTTCCCCCAGATGCCCCCCACGGCGGCTATGCCGCCTGATGGGGTGGACAAGCAGGAGGATGGAAAGGATAACCAGTAAGGTTAAGATGTTGTTGCTTGTGTTTTTGGGAATGTTGCACTTAGAATGTGTTGGATATCATTTTTGCACGTAGCCAGTGTTTAGGGATCTGTCTGGTTATACCTTGCTGGTGTCAGGCTGGAGCCAGGGCAGTGCAGTATGACAAGGTGGGAAAAATGTCAGCTTGGTCATTCTTGAGGGTTTTGCAGTTGAAGGCTTTTGCCCCCCCCTGGTCTCCTTGAGGTTCCAATTGGTTGCACTTGGTGCAGGAAGGGGGGAAGGACACAGAGTGAAGAGAGTTTGCATTTGGAGCTGACCTTGCACCACGCAATGCGCTGATTTTCATTGCCGGGTGTGTCAGCACATCTTGTTTGGATGGCATCTGTGCTTCCCAGGCACCAGTCGGCTAGTTCAGGAGTTCAGGTTTGAAGGCGAGGTCCACGCATTGTTACCTTCAGGAGGCATCAAGAGGCCTCCTTTTCATATACACGCATTGTTACCTTCAGGAGGCATCAAGGGGCCTCCTTTTCACATAGATGCTTCTTGTTTGATCTACATGATGCCCTTGTTGCTCATTTGGGAGCCACTGGATTTTGCAGCCATCGGGCAGCCAAGGTGCTTTTGAAGAAGAAACGCAAACTATCCATGTGATCAAACCAAAACAAGCCTGTGTGAATGAAAAAAATTGTTGGTGCAAAAAATGCATTTTTGAGCTCAGACCTCGCAATCCTCATCCCCACGTCTGTGGACATGGGTTTCCTTCAGAAAAATGAAGGGGCACCATCCTCATGAACAATTTGACTTTCAACCACTGGAAAAGTACCCAAGGCACACGGGTCTGCTCAAGCAAGCATGGTCAATGGCAAACTCCAGTCACCAAAAATAAGGTTGGCAAGTTTCAAGGAAATATCTCAACCTCAATCAACCCTCCTAAGTTTAAAAAAGCTAAAAATTTAAACTTTTTTTAACTTTTTTTAAACTTTGATTTCTTTATGATTCTAATAAAGAAATCAAAGTTTAAAAAAGTTAAAAAAAGTTTAAATTTTTAACTTTTTTTAAACTTCTCCCTTGTACCCCAAAAGCTTCCCAGGTGGTCATATATGATCTGCATGGACAACTGCAATCTCATGGCTAGGTATCCCGGATCAAACAGTGGTCTGGGCCTTGCTTCTGGTAGCTTACTTTCAATCATGGCTCCCAAAACTGCCAAAACAAAGCCATCCCCACAGAAGAAGAAGGCAGCCGCCAAAAGGGCTGTGGCCAAGCCCAAGTCCAAGTCTGAAGGGCAGGCATGGACAAGAAGGAGGTGAGTGGTATGCTGGCCAACCTCTCCTATGGTGCGAAGATGGGTGACCACCACAAGCAGGCTTTCTTGGCTGAGTGGCGGGCCTTGCCGCACAGTTGCAAGGAGAAGCAGGGGCTGCTGAGTAAATTCAAGTTGGACAAGTCCTGCAAGTGGATGGTGGTCCACCAGGAAACCATCGAAGAGACCAACAGCAGCAGCTTGGACACGAAGGATGGCTACTTGAACAAGTTTCTTGGCATTCCAGCCGCATTTTCACTTTGGATCACCAACCGGTCTTTTTGTAAATATTATGTTGGCTTGCAACCCCTTGCCTAGGCTCCAGCTGGCAGACTTGGTGAAGCTGCCAGTGGAGTCCAAGAAGTTTGAGGATTTCAGCACCACCCTGAAGTCCGACCACGACTGGGACGAGGAGAATCCCATTGAGCGTGGCTTCAAGAAGGCTGGCCTCGCCCGGTACCACGTCGAGGGCTTCAAAGACCTCAAGGTGGAGAACCACACCTTGAAGAACAGTGAAAGCCTTGCAGCCACCAGGCAGACAACCTCCACAGCCGGGCTGGGTGACGCCTTGGCCTTGCAAGACAAGGGGCAGGTCCAGGTGAAGATGGAGAACCCCTTGAAGCAGAGGCTGGATCAGGCCCTCCAGGTTCTCTCCAGTGGAAAGCAGGCTATAGAAAAAGTGCTTCCCGCCTTGGAGGACCTGGCTGCTTGCTTGCTTCAGAAGGGGAAAGACCCCAAGAAGGAATGGCTCAAGGACAAGGGGGAGACCTTGCAGGCCAGCGTTCTGTCCAAGCTGAACCAGGAGGTCAAGAGTGTCCGAGAGACATTGCTCGCCCACAAAGATCTGCCTGCCGACCAGTGCACGGCCGAGCAGTGCAGATCCATTGAGGACAAAAGCGCCGATTTGGACGTCCTTTTGGACGCGGCAAAGACTTGGAAGAAGAAGGCCCAGCTCTTGACTGCTGAGAACTAGTGAGTGCTAGTTTGCGCAATGGGTTCTCTTTGTGCCTCACTAAAGGCGCAATTGAGCACAGTTTTTTTTTGAGCGCAAAAGAAGTGCCTTCGGAGCTTGCTTTTCTGATCACGCTTGCGCATGTGAGGCTCTAAAGCTTCTCGGTTCAAACTTGCACCCTTGACGCCTTCTGAGTTTTTTCTTGTCAGCAAAATGGCTTGCCTTGCCAAATGGATGCTGGCCCTTTGGTTTTGCAATTGCTTGTGGATGGTAGAGTCAATGTTTTCCAAAAGAAGCCTTCCAAAATATTCTGACCAGCCCAAAGAGAAGAGGCTGAGAACCAACATTGAGGATTTGTATTTTACCAACCAAGTCAGCGCAGAGCGAGCGTCCAGCTTGCTACAGGATGCAGAGGCAGCCGGCAGTGCGCACACTGGAGATTTGCATTCTTTTAAGCCATCCGCTGGGCATCATAAGCGGGACTTGCAAAGGAAACTTGTGAGATATTCCAATTGGCCCAAGCCCTATTTTGTATCTGTTGAGGTCTGGGACCCCAAAAAGAAGGCAGCAGTTCACAAGCTCTTGCCTATGTGGTTGCCACATGAGCTGGTGGGTTATATTGCGAAGTGGTCTTCGTTGGAGAATTTTTTGGACAAAGGCGGAATGTCCGTTGACACGGCTGCCCACGTGACCAAGGTGGAAGCTCAGGCTGGAGCCACCCTATTGGGTTGCGGTCTGTGGTGCGACGGCGTCCCTTACAACTGGGACAAGAGTTCTTCGCTGGAAGTTGTTGCCTTAAATTTCCCAGGCGTCCCAGAATGGAAGAACATGCGGCTGCCGATCACGGTCATTGACAAATCTTTTGTGATCAAGCACGCCACCTTTGACTGTATCTTCAATATTTTGAAGTGGAGTTTTGAGATTTTATTTTCTGGCGTATACCCCAGCAGGAGACACGACGGGTCTCCTTTTACCGTCAAAGATGCGGTGAGGAAGAAGCTGGCTGGCCAAACCCTCTATGTCAGGGCAATCCTTGCTGAGGTTCGCGGCGACTGGGCTTGCTACAAGGAATTGTTCAGGCTGCCCGGCTGGAAAGAATTGAGCGGCTGCTGTTGGAGGTGCACCATGACTCCTGACCGCATCCATCTCTGTGATGACCAAGCATTTTGGAGGATGCCGCAGCACCGCCTTTCCCATTGGCAGTTTATGACGAGGCAAGCAGAACTTGAGAGATCAACCTCTCCTATCATGGGCTGCCCGTTTGTTGATATTTCTATCTTTCAAATCGATTGGTTGCACGCAGTGGACAAAGGAGTTGCAGCAGACTTTTGTGGGAGTTTTCTTTCTTCCTTGCTACCAAAGATGCGAGGCACCAACAAAGACGAGCAATGCAGAGATTTATTTTTGAAGCTCCAGACATGGTACAAGGACAATGGCACCAAGGACAGGCTTGCCAACCTCACCGCCACCATGCTGCAGAAGAAAGCCAGCAACCCCCCCAAGCTCAGAGGGGGAGCGGCTCAAGTCAGGGCGACTGTGCCTTTTGTCAACTTCCTGGCCCAAGAGTACTGCAGGGATGACAATGTGTGGGAGTCAAGTTTGAAGGCGGCAGCTGGGCACCTGTCGCGATGCTATGAATGCTTGGATCATCAGAATTTTTCCATAGCAGTACTGAAAGAACATTGTCGGAAATTTTGCACTTTGTACGCAGCTTTGGTCCATGACTCTGATCACGCGCAGTGGAGGCTGAAACCAAAATTGCATTTGTTCCAAGAAATGTGCGAGATGGCTGCCTCCAATCCCAGTTTGACGTGGACATATCGGGATGAGGATTTTGGAGGGGCTCTGGCCCTGATGGGGAGGAGGAGGGGAGGGCCAAAGTCTGTGACTTCAACCGCCGAGAATGTATTGTGCCGGTTTGCAGGTCGACACGATGTGCCAGCTGTGTGAGAAAAAAAGGAGCTGTTTGGATCGAGGCGCTGCCTTGAAGGTTCGAGCGCGCATGAAGCCATGCATGAACTTGCTGCAGCAGTTTGTCTACAGGAGAAAGCACGTTCGTTCTCCCATTTTGAAAAAAAGATCAGGAGAAGCGCATGCAAGCTTCTCCTTTTGAAACACACATTAACTAAGAAAAAACACCTTAAAATGAAAACCCTCTAATTAAGGACTAAAGTCCTTAAATGTTGGATTCAACCTTAAAAAAAGACCTTAAATAAGGACTTTTGTATGTGTTTTCAAGAAAAAGACTTTAAATAAGGACTAAAGCCTTTAATTAAGGAGTTTTTTTAAGGTTGATAAACTTAAATAAGGTTGGAAACCTTAATTAAGGTCTTTTGGGTGGTGAGGGCTGCAACCCTTCGACGGGTGCCCGAGCTCTCCAGGGGAGAGAAAGGGTATGGTCGCGGCTGGAACAACCTTCGGAACCGCTACCAGAACGAGCCAAAGTGGGAAGACCTCTTCTTCACGACCATGATGAAGAACCCGGTTGTGAAGTGCTGGAATAAGAGGTGTGGCAACCAGCAGATCGACGGCTACCTTTTGTGTCAGGAATGCCGATCAGATATGGTCGAGTGGACGGATGCCCGGATCGCCACCGAGGTTGTGCGCCTTGAGCACACCGCGTCTCTCCAAAACATGGTCTTCTACTTGGAAGACCTCCAGGGGGGCGGTGGGAAGTGGATCCGCTCCAAGCATCACGCCAAGGAAGGCGACAAGCGGGGAGGAATCTCCGTCGAGGCGTCACTCAGAAAGACGGCAAAGACGCATCTGACCAAAGCGCTGGCAATGGGCTGCGAGAAGGTGTCCGACCGCCTCTCGGTCGACCCGTTCTATGCCTATAATTGCGCTACGCAAGGGTTGACTCCTGAAAGCCTGGATTTCCTAGGCAGGATCGCCCGAGCGATCGTTGCAGACCCTGGCCGCACAAGGGAGGAGCGCGATCGGGGAGGGTCTCAGAACACTGGCACGAAGTTGGTGTTCATTCCCAGCCCCAACAAGCGCGATCCCCACGAGTTGAACGTGTCAACGGAGGCTTTCATCGCGCACCATGCGAGATTCTACACCATCATGCAGTTTGCGGTCATGTGTGCCTATCGTTTCATTCCCGGCAAGCAGGTGCCTATTATCATTGGGCACAGCGGAGCATACGTCCCGGAAGGGAGCGTCGAGAACATCGTGGAGGTGATGATCAGCTTTATTCGTACCTCCTGGGTAAAGCACGACTCCCAAGGAACGATTAGCGCAGGCGAACTGGAGATCCCGCAATTCTCATCCGGCCGGACAAGAAGCTATCCTGTCGAGGCGAGGAACACTCAGTGGAGGGCAATCACCCGGTCCATCCGCCCCGAGCCCTATGCCAAGGGAAAGGGCAAGGGCAAAGGCAAGAACAAGGGGCGCCAGGACTGGAGCTCTTGGAATTACGGGTGGTCCTATGGATGGGATCAATGGCGTCAGGGCCCGTGGGGATGGTGAGCACCCGCATCAATCACGAAAAGTTTAGCTTTTGTTGCGGTGATCTTTTCAAAGTTCATTGGTGATGTCATGTTCGAAAACTATTATCTTTCATCCATTGATGCCGCAACATTAGCTGTGCCGAGTTTGCACGCCCGGCGGAAGCTGCGGCCGTAGGTCAATCCACGGCCGCCACCACCGGCTGTCATTTCGATTTCGCCCAGCGGAAGCTGTGGTCGTGAGATCACCTCCGTTTGCGGCAACAAAATGAATTCAGTTTCAAGCATTCACATGAAAATTACATGTGTATTGCCCGACGGAAGTCGTGGTCGGCCGACTCGATTGGCATGCTCCTGCAAGAGACCAAATGCATTGCAGTTGTAGCGGCCATTGATGCAACAGGCCTCAAACCACCATGGCTTGCCACCTATCACACTGAGGCTCAACGTCTTCATCGTCGCGACCTCAGAGGACTTTGCTTCAGGCCTGGGGGGAAACATGTACAAAGTACTGTTCTCACCAACGCACCTCTGCAAAGCGGGGGGTGTTGATAGGTAGTGGCATTCCGACATGATACTGGCTCAAGAAAAATTGACTGCCGCCCGTGCTGACATTTAGGCAAACCCCACCTTTCAACAACGTTGGCTGCTAAATCCATAGGTCCATCAACTTGTGTTCGTATAGCCTTGGTTTGTCCTTCTCCCTACCGCTTTGCTGACTTTGATTTACACACAGGCTCAATTGCAACCATCGATATGTGCTCCGGTTGTTTCGCTACGAGGTTTGCGCTTCAGCCTCCCTCGCCTGAAAACTCAAGACCGCAGGTTTTGTACCCAATTCGCTCTGGAGGCGTTCCACTAGTGCTGGTTTCCGCATGTTAAACATGCGGTTCTTTTGTTTGGCCGCAACATTGGCGACACCAAAGAGGCAGCACGGGCCTGTGCCAAAGGAGCACATCGTCTTCTTTGTTCTCCCGTGTGCAGTTAAGCGGACCTTTGCATGATACCTCAGCTTGGGTGGCGGTTTGCAGCTGTTGCCAGTCGAGGCTTGTGGATTGTTTTACGGACGACAGAAAGTGCCTTTGCCAATTTGCGGTGCCAACCATTTGCAACTGGATCTGCGCATCAGTTCAGTTCATTGATGAAACGCCCGGATGTCCTGCAACCTCCGTGGTTCGAAGTCCATATGGAAGGCGTATCCCGAGCCTGATCTGAACTCCGGAAGGTCCTCGTTTGGGGCCGCAAAAACCCTCTAGGTTGGTATGCCCAAATATTGGCGTTGGGAACTCCGTTGCGGTCCTGTTGGACTTCCCGCAGTTTACTTGAATGGGCATTCGGAATCGGACTTGTGTGGAATTATGTTCGATTCCGCACCCGTTTAGCGGGACAAAAGCTTCTCAACTTTGGGTGATGACATGCCACTAACAAATCCGCCCGTAATACTCAGCAACAGATTGAGGCAACAGGTTCGAAAGGTCATCTCGCCCACTTTACTTTTGATTAATCCGGTTGATCCAGTACTAAGCCAATACTAAGCTGTATGCCGGCAACACAACTGTTCCGAAAGTGAAT